ATTACTGAGATTACTGAGGAGGTAGCTTAGCACAATAGAGAAGGTGAATGTAAGAATGTAAAAGTGGCCTTTTATTTAAAGAATGTGGAGACAAGCCCACAGCCACAAAGGGCTTGGCTTTTATTTTTTTTCTGACTGACTATGGGGTTATGGGGTATATGTGACTTTTGACTGGATGTGGTGCTTGGAGGGGACATTGATGTCATGCTAGGAGCTAATGGGAATTTTATTTAGGCCCCTGGGAAAGAAAGAGGGTGTTATAATCAAGGAGAAAAGAGGAAGTGGCCATGTGAGTAAGCATCCCTGAGTTCACCTTCTTTCACTTTGAACTACCACTATGAGGTCCTGTAATTTTTCTAGGGCAAAACTCTTTCAAGTACATACTTTGGATTGAATGAAGAAATCAAAACAAAGAATTTTTGCTATCTGTCTTCCTCCATGGCTGGTGATAAGCCATTCATAAGAAATATTTTGATTCAATTCCTTAATGCATTGTCGATACCATAACCAAAATTACAGATCAGTTCACTTTCAGAAAAAGAAGAAGCACTTAAAGGCAGGGATAAAGTCCTTCAATGCAGGTATCCCTGGCAAGGTGAGTTCAACATTGTGTAATATAAACTACAACTGATTTCTCTGACTTCCAGAAAGAGAAAAGTTTATACTGATATTGCCGTAGCAAAATCAATCTCCAGGTATGCTATGTCTGATATGAGATTTTTGTTCTGTAAATTCAAAGACTGAATTTTAGGAACAACAGAAATTAACAGAAGAATATACTTATTGAGAGAAAGAAAGCTGCCTGAGACTGAGAAGGGGTCCTGAGCAGGTAGCCAAACACTGTCCTTTCTAGGGATCTTTATAGAGTAAAATCATGTGGTGAAATTAGTTTAAGGTGGGGAAAACTAGGAACTCACAATGCAGATGGGCATAAGATGGAACAGAGCTAAGGTAGCCAATAAGTTCAGGTCAAGTTGATTAAATTGGGAACAAAGTGGGAAGGGAGTCACATAGAAATCAGGCATTCTTAGGCAGCTGTGACTTCCCTTATGGGTTTGGGAGGGTGACTACTGAGGTCATCAAGATGATAGGAACTACGTAGAATGTCAGTCTTTAACAGGATACATTCCTTTGAATGGTGATTCCTGACTTCCTCAGAATGCTAGGGAACTATTTAGAATATCAATCCTTAGGATATGGATGAATTTGCTTATCATTTGTATTCAGACTTGGCCCATAGCATGAGGTGTCAGTAACTCAGCTGCCTATAACAGTACTGTTTGGAAAAATGATTATAGATGTCTTGTGCTCTATGGGAATGATCTGGGAATGTCAATGTGCAATGTATATACGAGTGTTGCCTCCTGATTGACATGTTTTGAAATTTAATTTTAGTTGATGCATTCTTTTTTCCTTGAAATAAAATGGATTTGAAAATTAAAAGCCTGAGGAAAAGCTCTTCAGTACAAACACTCCTCTGTCGAGCTGAGTTCACCACTGTAGAAGAATGGCAGCTCCAGAAGCCTCTGCACTACAGTCTATCATTTTGGATCCTCTCTTGCAGGGAGGGGTTACTTTCCCTGTTTATTCTTGCCTCAGAAGGAGGGCAGTAGAGCAGGAGTCAATCAGTGATGAAGGTGCAGGCTATATGAACTGTCCAATCTAGCGAGGCACTGCTGGCTGTGACTTCTGTCTCTTCTGATGTCTCATCATGATTTACCTGTTCTGAGTACAATACTGGTAGCAAAATGCTTGCTGGATCTCATTTAGTACTTTCAGTGTCCTGTGGCCTCATTAGCAAAGAACCTGAGAGATCCTGGAGCCATGGGATGGTGAGGTTGTGGATGGGAACCCAGAAATAGGGTGGATTGGGTGAAACCAGATATACGTGTTCAGGAGTATTTCCGGTGTCTGAAGCCTCAGGTATTTAGTTAGCTTTAGCTCCTGAGGTTCACCAGCATTTGCCATGGGTCATTCACTGTCCCTTTTGCCTCTTGCTGTTGGCAAGGGTGATTTGTGGTCCCAAGAACCCTGGCCCCACCCTGACAGCAGCAGACTGAAGTATCATCTTTGAAATTCACTGCTGGCCTGGTAACTCCACAATCTTAGGCATTGCAAGGACCTTGGGAAGACCCTACCTATGATGCTTTCTGTAGCTTATAGAGCAGTAATGAGCTAGGTCTCTGCTCTCTTTCCTCAGAGTAGCAGATCTGGAATGTCCAAAGTTCATTAATGCCTGTAATGCAGGGCCTCATCGTCACAATGGCTCAACTTAAACTTTGGCTTTTTTGCATTTATAGTGATCTGCTTAATTTATAGTATGTTCTCATATTTCCATCCTCATGACAGGTGGTGGCAAAGGTCCTGAAAATTCAGAGATGTGTAGTAATGTGCTTCAGTAGAGGAAGGCTTCCCAAACACCTGGTGAACTCCTGTGTGTTATACAGAACAGTGCAAAATAATTTCTGAACATACTTAACTATTTATGTGGCACCCTTGCTCACAGACTAGGTTTGTGAGAACAGCCATAGAGTTTTGAAGTCTGAGAAAAATGAAGCAAATATGAAAGTGTTATCAAGGCCAGGGTAAAAATTTGTATAGGACAGATTCCAGAAAGGGCTACCTGTTAAATTCTAATCGAAAATGCTGAAATTTAGGCATTTGCATGGACATTTATACATGATATCCTACTGAATGGAAAGGAATAGGGGTGTCATCTCTGAATTAAGAGCTGATTTAGTAGCTTGGTTGTTCATAGACAGTTTAAATATGGAAATTCTCTTCAATGGACTTTATTAAGTGGTGTAAAGGAGAAGCCTTAGATAGAAATTTTGCAGTGATATCAATAGTTAGGCATAAAGGGTTTTCTGCTGAGAATGGATCAGAGAAGTGTGGAAAGAATGTGGAAGTGATTGACAGGATGCAGGAAGCCAATAGCAGGACATACAACAGAGAGGGTCTTCACTAAACATCAGGTAGTTCTTAGAGTAAATATGAAGTAAAGTTGGGTTTTGATTGCTTCCTTGAGGTGGTCAACACCATCTTTGGCAACAATCAGCATTTCACATCCCTGTCAACCCATGAATTTTGTGTTCCATGCTTGAGATCTAATTTGGATTATCATAATTATGCCCCAGTGTCATGAAGGTAAAATTTGGATTTTTTTTTGTTCCAAGGATTGAACTGATGACCTAAGCTTTCCAGGCAGTTGGTGATGCCACTGAGCTAAATACCCAACTATGCAAGTATTTTCTTTGTAGTATGGAAGATATCCACATTGTTTGTCAGAAAGTGTTGAATATTGTTGGAATTTTTCTTTATTATATGGCTGTAGTTTTTAAAAACAAACCAAAGCTGTCTTATGCAGTCTCTTTTCAAGTTTCACTTTGTCTGTGGTGTGTCTCAGTCAGGGTTTCTCTATTTTAGACAGCTCTGCAACTTAGGATAACCCCAAATTCAAGGAAGAACTCCTTCACCAGCCTCCCAAGATATACTTCTTATATCTGAATGGACAGTGATCACTGGGTGACAGTGAGCTATAATTTACAGTTTGGTCCTGGTTTCATTGTTTATACATATTTTTAAAATACAGCTGTTTTCCACTAACATTTGTGTTATTATTTATGTACCATATTGGATATTATTTATGTTTTGTTCTATGAAACCAAATTCATGTTTCAAAATGCTGCTGAAGTATATTAAGAACAAAGTATTCACTGGCTTAAATGAGATTTGAGGAGACATTATCTATAGTCTATCAAAGTGATTGATGAGATTTTTTTTTCTTTTTTTAAATTTTGAAACTGGTAAAATACAACAGAACAAGGCACAATAAGGCAAACTCAGATTATACTGTGAAATTGGTACACAACTTCACAACAGGTTACTGGGATAACAGTAATAGGTATCACGTATATTTTGTTATCTTTATAATAATTGTTCTTCAATCACATATATCAAAATGAGATGAAATACAGAACATTATAGAACTTATCAAAACAGAACATTGAATAGAGCAATACCATGATTCAGAATAGAGCAAAACAGTAATAAATATATTTGCCTTCAAAGAGATAGTAGAAGGAAGTCCCCCTTATTTGTTATTTTCAACTTCCCAGAAGACGCTCAGATTTGTGATTCCCATTTGCTAACAGGGGTGGAGGTGACAGGAGAAGATGGGTAGGGGAAGTGTGATGTTTGATTCTAGCCCGTGAATCAGTAGGTTCACTATTGCTTAGTAGGGAGACTGGCTGGTTGTTTGGTTTCACAGCGTCCTAAGTTCCAACATGGCGCAGATCTCAGGAGCTGTTGCTGTTTCTTCCCCTGAAAGGGCTGAAGTCTGTCAGACCACCACCACTTATCAGGGAGAGGTGGTGCTTGCTTGGCTTCACAGTGTCCTAAATTCCAGCATGGCATAGATCTCAGGAGCTGCTGCTGGTTCACGCCCTGGATGGGCCGCCGTCTGCCACACCGCCACCACTTACCAGGGAAGGCAGGTGCTTGCTTGGCTTCCCAGTTGATTGATGGGATATTTATCTGCTTCTGTGCTTTGTGAATGTTGGTCCTGTAGGCTTCTCACTGTGAGGTCTGCTTTAGAGACAGTACACAGGGAATCTTGCATTGACTCAGCACAAGAATCAGTGCTCCTATTTGGCTGTTACATTAGCAGTGAGTTGCAATCTAGCATCAAATTTGCTGTGTTCAAAAATGTGTATATATACAAAATTAATGACCAAGACATGGATTTAAATTTGAAGAAATCAGTCTTCATTCAGCTGTTTTGTTTGGTTTTATGTAAGTTTAGTTTTGTTTTATTGAGACAAGCTTTCTGTATGTATATCAGCTGTATTTGAACACCCTATGATACCTAGAATTGCCCTGAACTCACCAAAGCCATCCTGTCTCAGCCTTTTGAGATTCAGATTTGTAGGCAAGAATTTAAGATATCTCAAACCTGGGAGCTCAACCTTCCTTTGAGAAATACATGTATGATCCTTTAGGAGGCAGTGACCTTTGAGGATGTGGTTGTGAACTTCAGCAATGAGGAGTGGGGTTTGCTGAGTCCATCCCAAAAGAACCTCTACAGAGATGTGATGGGCGAAACCTTTAGGAACTTGACTGCAATAGGTAAGGATGAAATACTGTTGTTACTCATGCTGTCAGAATATTGTTTGTTGTCCAGTAGTGCTGTTTCATTAAAATAATGTGAAAATATTTTTAAAAATAGCTCAGATCTGGACCTATTATATCACAACTCTACACAAAATCTATTAATTTGTATATATTATTCTAATGAGCACTGGTATTTCTATGTCTACAATTCAGGAGGACTTGCAGATATCCAGGAAGCTAAAAAAGAATGCAAGATTTCCTGGAGATACTTAAGGTAATTCGCACTCACAAGGAGAAGGAATGTTCCTGAGTAATCAGTAAGCAGAAGAATGGCAGCCAAAGAAATGAGGCACCATTCAATTTAGTGGCAGCAATATTCTCTAAAGATGTATAAGCTAGGGTATGTGTAATGAGGCAATTAAATCATGAAAACATATGACATTGAATATAGATGTGTATGAAAGGCATACACTTTGAGTTATGATATTCTGCTTTCAGTTTTTCTACTCATGTATACATGTGAATACAACACATTCATTATCTAAAAATTACTAAGATTGCAATAGAATTTGAAATAAAATGGAGTGCTCATGTTTCTAAGCCATGCTCTAGAGAATCAGCCATTCTGATTAAAATTCCTAGTAATCTGTTGGAATGTTAGTGCACTCTGTCTGAATATCAGTATGCAGTTTTCTCTAGAAATTGATCCCCTCATACTTGTCCTGGATATATATATATATATATATATATATATATATATATATTTTTTTTTTTTTTTGTCTTTTTCCTTTTTATCGGTACCGGGGATCGAACTCACGACTGCCTGCTTTCAAGGCAGGCATTTATGCTGCTGAGCTAAACCCCCAGCGCCCCCTGGATATATTTTTAAAAACTCAAAATCTGCATAAAATTTAGATACATGCTTACTCATATACAATGCAAATGAAGTTATAACAGATCAGGCCTTGAAGAAGCTTAGCTATCTATCACTGGATTTGTGGAGAAGGAAAATATTAATAGACTCTGTGATTGTGCATTCTTGTAAATCCAGCAAACTAGGAATCAGATTTTGCAGAATGGCAAATTCAAGTTCAAACTTCACAGCTTAATGATCAGTGAAAATCTCTAAAAACAGATTTTAAAAAAGCTATAGATGTTATGCTAATACCTGTTGCTCATTCCCAGCATGGAAAAGAAAAAAGTGTGTTATATAATCTCAAAAAATAAATAGTATAATGTCATTTGCCATAAGAAATAGATGGGTCTTTCTCCCAGAAATTCAGTGAAATAGGTCAGCTATAAAACATAAAAGGCCACAGGGTTTCTTTTAGATGAGAAACCAAAATATAAAACTGTGGAATCAAATGAAAGAGAGTTGATAGAGAAAAGTAAGACTGACCATATGGAAAAGGGAACTACAGGTTAAGGACAGAAAGGAGATTGTGATGGGGACACATATCAGAATGATCTGTATGTGATACACATATGTACCCATGCCCAAAGTGAAGCTAAAGATTCTGCATTTCAAAAGGTACCAACTTTTAAGATTTCCAAATGTGTACCAGTCTTTTGAGAATGGTTGTTTTCAACATATCTTACAAGGCCATTCTGTTGCTTCATGATCAGAATTTCTTAGCAGCCATTAAAAACAGAACGACATTAATGCAGTCATTATACCAAGACCCATTTCACTGTCAATTTTTCTTTTTTTTAATTTAATGTAAGGAAATACTAAACAAAACACAATAAGTAGAAATAATACTACTTTCAAAGTGAAAATAAACAGTATGGAATAGCAAGACGATGATTACATATGGTGTTCATAAAAATAGTTAATCAAATACAAAAGTGAAACATATGAAGTGGGGATTCAAACAGCGAGACTGCAAAGTTTTGTTCAACTCTCCAAAAAAAAGCTTAGTAATATGGTTATCAATCCTATATGTGATGTTTTTCTTTACAGAAATGACAAGCTAGGGAAGTCCTATGGACATACATCTTGGAATCAGTGTAAAGAAGTATTCCTTTGTACTGCAGAAGGTAATGTGAATGTGAAAGAAACAGAAGCACACCACGATGTTCAGATACAGAAAAAATATTGCAGTGGAGGGAAACCCTATGTATGTCAGCAATGTGGAAAAGGTTTCACCAAATCTGGACATTATAAGCAACATGAAAGAATTCACACTGGAGAGAAACCATATGTATGTAAGCAATGTGGGAAAGTTTTTAAAACACGTGCGTATTGTAAGGTTCATGTAAGATTTCACACTGGAGAGAAACCTTATGCATGTAAGCAATGTGGGAAAGCTTTTACCACACAGGGACAGTGTAAGTCACATGAAAGAATTCACACTGGAGTGAAACCGTATGTATGTAACCAATGTGGGAAAGCTTTTAATACACAGGCAGATTGTAAGAAACATGAAAGGATTCACACTGGAGAGAAACCCTATGTATGTAAGCAATGTGGGAAAGCTTTTAACACACAGGGATATTGTAAGAAACATGAAAGAATTCACACTGGAGAGAAACCCTATGTATGTAAGCAATGTGGAAAAGGTTTCACCATCTCTGGACATTGTAAGCAACATGAAAGAATTCACACTGGAGAGAAACCCTATGTATGTAAGCAATGTGGGAAAGCTTTTAACACACAGGGATATTGTAAGCAACATGAAAGAATTCACACTGGAGATAAACCCTATGTATGTAAGCAATGTGGGAAAGCTTTTAATACACGGGCAGATTGTAAGAAACATGAAAGGGTTCACACTGGAGAGAAACCCTATGTATGTAAGCAATGTGGGAAAGCTTTTAACACACAGGGATATTGTAAGAAACATGAAAGAATTCACACTGGAGAGAAACCCTATGTATGTAAGCAATGTGGGAAAGCTTTTAACACACAGGGATATTGTAAGAAACATGAAAGAATTCACACTGGAGAGAAACCCTATGTATGTAAGCAATGTGGGAAAGCTTTTACCACCCATGGACAGTGTAAGGAACATGAAAGAATTCACACTGGAGTGAAACCGTATGTATGTAACCAATGTGGGAAAGCTTTTAATACACGGGCAGATTGTAAGAAACATGAAAGGATTCACACTGGAGAGAAACCCTATGTATGTAAGCAATGTGGGAAATCTTTTAACACACAGGGATATTGTAAGAAACATGAAAGAACTCACACTGGAGAGAAACCCTATGTATGTAAGCAATGTGGTAAAGCTTTTAATACACGGGCAGATTGTAAGAAACATGAAAGGATTCACACTGGAGAGAAACCCTATGTATGTAAGCAATGTGGGAAAGCTTTTAACACACAGGGATATTGTAAGAAACATGAAAGAATTCACACTGGAGAGAAACCCTATGTATCTAAGCAATGTGGGAAAGCTTTTAACACACAGGGATATTGTAAGAAACATGAAAGAATTCACACTGGAGAGAAACCCTATGTATGTAAGCAATGTGGGAAAACCTTTACCCAACATGTACATTGTAAGCAACATGAAAGTTCACACTCAAGATAAAACCAGTGTATATAAGTATCATGAGAATTTTTGAGCACATGTACATATTGCATGATGCATGAAATCTTCACACTGGACAGAAAACTTATATATGTAAGGAATGTGGGAAAGGTTTCAGCAGAAACGCTCATTGTCCAATACATGAAAAAAATTACATTGTTGAGAAACCCTGTTTATGTGACAAATGTGGGAAAGCTTTCACCACATATGGATATTGTAAAATACGTCAATGACTTTACCCTGAGGAGAAACCCTATGCATATAAAAATGTGGCAAAGCTTTTACTGCATAGTGAAAGAATTCACACTGGGAAGAACCACTGACTATGGAAGCAAGTAGAGACACTTTCAGCAGCCATATTGTAAGTGAAATAAGTGAAAAAACTCACACAAGCAATAAATTCTATGTGTTATGGGAACCCTCAGCACACATGATCATTGTTACATATCTGAAAGGGCTCACTGCATCCTATGTGGATTAACAATGTGAGAAATATGGCAATCCATGTTTGTTGTTAAATACACAGAAAAAACATCACTCTTCAGACAGTGTAGATCTAAGTTTACTTTAAAAATCCCTAGGAGACCTGAAGAAATAATCAATAAAGAATTTTGATGTCAATATTTCTTCACAATTTTAGAGAAATGACAAATCTGAGAATCTCTACTCAAGTGTACATGTTGTATTGTTTTCAGTTAATCACTTGTACCTCTTTAGATTTTTTAAAGTGTCTTTGTGCTTCAACATGGTATCTTGTAATTAAACATGGTAAACTAAAATGGGCTTTTCAATTTCAAGTATGGATAGTGTCTATGTACTTAATATTTTGTCTTTAAATATTTTATATTTTTGTGAACTTTAATGTTGTTTATTTAAAGAGAAAAAAACAGAAAAATGTATAGAAATAATACAGAATTTCAGAAAAATAATAAGAAATCACTAGTTGATTTGTTACATATTGTCATCTTTGAAGTAGTTGTTCAAGTTATAAAATTAAAGCACACAAAGTGATATTCCAATAATGACACTGCGAACAGTTCACCTCTATGATCGAACAAAAACTTATTAATATGCTTATCTGTCCTACACACTTGTATTTTTCTTAAAAAGTGTAAGATTAAACATGACAAAACAGAAGATAACAGTTCATAAGAAAACAAGTTAAGGAAACACAGATTTCAAAGCAAGTCCACTGAAGATGTTCACTGTCTATCTTACTATCTCTAGTTTTCTTTGAAATAGTTTTTCCCATCTTCACATGCATTAAATATATACTGAACACTATAAATCTAAGCAAATAATTACAGAATGATGCAGGCTTTTTGGGTCTTCAAGACTGATTTTGAGGAAGTCGAAAATGACTATGATAATGTCTCTCATTCTCTTAGTAATAGCTGTCTTTCTCTTTATGTATGCTCAAATTGAGCATAAGAGACTAGACTAATATCACTCTGAACAGTGAATAATAGCATCCTGAGAAGGAGAAAGGTGAGGAATTGCCTAATAAAAGAAGGCAGAGGACATTGTTAAAAGTATCAGGATTTAAAAGCTACGGTAGTCTTATTGCTTTGTTTAGTTTGATTATATTTTGTTCTGGTCTGTCTATTCATATTAGATTTGAGCACACAGAGAGATAACCCCAAAATAGCAGGTTATACCATGGTAACTATCCGTAATTTCCTATTAACTTAAACTGAAACCCAGCATTACTTACATTGTCTTCTATGATCTTCTTTGAAGCTGGTTTGTTTGAATGCTATTTGGCCTTGACTTATTTTATTCACATTTGCTTTGCTTGCTTGTATCAAGTCCAAGAGTAGAGGCAACTACTCTGAAGATGACAAGATGTAAAAGATATACACTGGGGGGCTGGGGATTTAGCTCAATGGTTTAAGCACCTTTCTGGCAAGTGTGAGGTCATTTGTTTGATCTCCAGTACCAAATAAATAAATAAATAAATAAATAAAAGATATCCATTCCAGGTTTCATTAGTTTTTATATAAAGAGAAAAAATAAAGGAAATAAAAAAACAGCAGTAAAACTGTACACATACTACATAATTTCAAGAAAAAAATACAGTAAGAAATCACTAGTTAATAGGTTTACTTATATATCAGCTGAGCTGAGGCCGGCCCTGCTGCTGCCTTTCCCACCCGAGGCCCATACTAGGACCCCTGGGGACTGGAAGGTGCACATCCAGCTGAGTGGAGGCCGGCCCTACTGCTGCATCTCCCACACAGGGCCCATACTACAACCGCCGGGGACTGGAAGGTGTGCATCCAGCTGAGCAGAGGCCGGCCCTGCTGCCGCCTCTCCCGCTTAGGGCCCAACTACCACCGCTGGGGACCGGAAGGTGAGCGTCCAGCAGAGAGGAGGCCAGCCCTGCTGCCGCCTCTCCCACCCAGAATCCATACCACCACTGCTGGGGACTGGAATGTGCACATCCAGCTGAGCAGAGGCCAGCCCTGTTGCCGCCTCTCCCACCCAGGGCCCAACTACCACCTCTGGGGACCAGAAGGTGCGCATCCAGCTGAGCAGAGGTGACTCTGGTCCGGCCCTGAAATTGTGCAAATTGAGGAAGCTTTAGGTCTACCTGAGAGGAGCCTGGAAAGCTTCTTTTAATCCAGGGGCTCCGCTGCCCAAGGAGGGAGCTACTACAAAAGGAGTCCCAAGAGCCCAGGAGAGAAGAGTCGATTTACAACACAACCAGGGGAAACTCTGAAACAACACTTGAAACACAGTAATATAGGAAAATGACAAAGACCAAAATGCAATCTCAAACATCCAACCCATCCCCCCAAGAAAGCCTAGGAGCCTTGTACATAGAAGAAAATACATGCCATATACCTGAAATACCTGAAACAATAGTAACATAAATAAAGAAGCAGCTCTGGAAGCTTTGAAGGAATTCAAACTAGAAATAATATATCAGGTAAAAGAAGAAATAATAAAAGAAATGAAGGAGATACTGAACATATCTAAACAAGACACAGCTAAACAATTGGAGAAACTAAACAAAAGGATAGAATCTCTGGATGAACAATATAAGAAACAAACAGAATATATAAAACACATGCAAAGAGATATACAGGAAATCAAAAGCAACATTGAAAGTTGTAAAAACTGCCTGAATGAATGCAAAGATAGAATTTCAGACCTCAAAGATAAGATTGCAGCCAGTGAACAGGAAAGGAAAGATCTTTTAAAAATAACAAGAAATCAAGAAATAACAATACAACACCTGCAAGATGACACAAAGAAAAACAACATCAGGTTGAAAGGGATAAATGAAAAAGGAGACAATACAAAGGATGTCAAGAGGATATTCAGAGAAGTAATTGCTGAAAACTTCCCAAACATGAAATTGGAAACTGATATTAGGATCAATGAGGCATGTAGAACTCCAAATAGCCATAACCAAAATAAAACTACACCCAGACATATAATAATCACCATTCCAGAAATCGAACAAAAGAATAGAATATTAAAAGCTGTCAGAGATAAAAGACAGATCACCTATAAAGGAAAACCTATCAGAATCACATCAGAGTTCTCAACACAAACAATAAAGGCAAGAAGAGCATGGAGTGAAGTATTTCAGATACTAAAGGAAAATGATTTCCAACCTAGACTAATGTACCCTGAAAAACGGTCCTTCAAAATTGATGGAGAAATAAGATACTTCCATGAAAAAGAACAGCTGAAGAAATTCATGATCACCAAGCCAATCCTGCAAAGAATATTGAAAGACAGTCTAGATACACTAAAGAAAAAACCACTTAACAAAGCAGACAATTAAATAGAACAGAAAGATAAAGATGCAACAGCAGAAAGATAACATGTCACTAATAAACCAATATATAACACTTATAACCATTAACGTAAATGGGCTGAACACACTAATTAAAAGAAATAGACTGGCAGAATGGATCAAGAAACAAAATCCAACCATATGCTGTCTACAAGAAACCCATCTAACCCAAAAGGATACTCACAGACTGAAAGTCAAAGGATGGAAAACAATACTTCATGCAACAGGAACTCAAAAAAAAGGGGGGGTAGCTATTCTGTTTGCAGACAATGTGAACTTCAAACCAATAATGATCAGAAGAGACAAAGCAGGTCACTCCATACTGGTTAGGAGAAAACTTCAAGAGGAAGAGATAACTATCTTAAATATATATGCACTAAATTCCAAAGCACCAAGTTATATAAAACATGTAATATCAGAAATGAAAAACCAAATTGGCAGTAATGCAATTATAACAGGAGATTTTAACACACCATTGACACCAATGGACAGATCAACAGGACAGAAAATCAGCAAAGAGATAAAAGAACTGTATCACACCGGTGAACAAATGGAATTGATAGACATATACAGAATATTCCACCCAACAACAATAGAATACACATTTTTCTCAGCAGTACGTGGGTCATTCTCTAAAATAGACCATATATTAACTCATAGAACATATTTCAAGAAATGCAAAAGAGTTGAAATCATCCCCTGCATGTTATCAGATCATAGCGCTATGAAATTAGTAATTAATGATAAAAGATACTGCAAAAATCCCATAAACACATGGAAACTGAATTAACACATTCTTGAGTAATCAGTGGGTCACAGAGGAAATTAAACAATACCTACAAACAAATGAAAACAAATACAACTTACTGGAATCTGTGGGATGCAATGAAAGCTGTCTTCAGAGGGAAATTTATTGCACTGTGTTCCCACATCAGGAAAACCAAACAAATACAAGTAAATAACTTGATGCTACACCTCAAACAGCTAGAAAAAGAAGAGCAAGTCAAGCCCAAAGCCTAAAGAAGAGAAGACATTATAAAAATCCGAGCAGAAATTAATGCAATAGAGACTAGTAAAACAATACAAAGAATCAATGAATCAAAGAGTTGGTTCTTTGAAAGAATAAATAAAATTGATAAACCCCCAGCCAACCTTATTTAAAAAAGGAAAGAAAAAGCTCAAATTCATGCAATAAGGAATGAAAAAGGTGAAATCACTACAGACCCAATAGAAATACAGAAGATCATCAACACCTATATCAAAAACCTCTACTCTCAAAGGTTACATAATGCAGAAGAAATAGATTTCTAGAAGAATATGAAGTACCAAAGCTAGGTCAAGAAGAAGTAAAACTGCTGAATAACCCAATTTCTATTCATGAAATTGAAAATATAATTAAGTCATTACCTACAAAGAAGAGCCCAGGCCCAGATGGATTCACTGCAGAATTCTACAAGAAACACAAAGAGGACCTAATGCCAACACTCCTCAAACTCTTCAATGAAATTGAAAGGGAAGCAATCCTTCCTAAGTCATTCCTGGAAGCAAATATTACTCTAGTACCAAAACCTGAGAAAGACCCAACTGAAAAAGAGAACTACAGACCAATCCCCTAATGAACACAGATTCAAAGATCCTCAATAAAATATTGGCAAACAGGATGCAGCAAGTCATCAAGAAGATTATACACCATGACCAAGTAGGATTCATTCCAGGTATGCAGGGATGGTTCAATATATGTAAATCAATAAATATAATCCACCATATCAATAGAGTCAAAAGTAAGAATCACGTGATCATTTCTATAGATGCAGAAAAAGCTTTTGATAAGGTACAATATTCATTTATGATAAGAACCTTACAGAAAATTGGAATAGATTGTTTTTACCTCAACATACTAAAGGCCATCTATGACAAACCAACAGCCAGTATCATACTAAATGGCCAAAAATTGAAGGCCTTTACTTTAAAATCAGGCACAAGACAAGGCTATCCCCTGTCACTGCTCCTATTTAATATAGTACTGGAAATACTAGCCAGAGCAATTAGACATGAAAGAAAAATAAAAGGTGTAAACATAGGAAAAGAAGAAGTTAAATTATCACTATATGCAGATGATATGATACTCTACATAGAAGACCCCCAAAACTCCATTGAAGGACTCCTAAATATAATAAATTCAGCAATGTGGCTGGATACAAAATCAATACTCAAAAATCAATAGCATTCTTATATACTAACAACAAAATCACAGAGAGATAAATAAGAGAAGCCACATCCTTCACACTAGCAACCAAGAAAATGAAATATTTAGGAATTACTCTCACGAAAGAAGTGAAAGACCTATACAGGGAAAATTATAATACACTGAAAAATGAAATTGAAGATGATCTCAGGAAATGGAAAGACATCCCTTGCTCAAGGATAGGAAGAATAAATATTGTGAAAACGGCCATTCTCCCAAAACTGTTATACAGATTCAATGCAATCCCGATAAAAATACCATCAACATACCTCATAGATCTCGAAACATCAATCCTAAAATTCATCTCAAACCAGAAAAGACATAGAATAGCAAGGACCGTTCTAAGCAGCAAAGGCAAGGCAGGAGGCATCACAATCCCTGACTTGAAGTTATACTACAAAGCTACTCTAATAAAATCAACATGGTACTCGAATCAAAACAGAGCTGAAGACCAATGGAATAGATTCGAAGATACAACCACAACTACAAACACACTCAACCACCTCATCTTTGATAAAGGGGCCAAACAGGTTCACTGGAAGAATGACAGTCTCTTTAATAAATGGTGTTAGAAAAACTGGCTCTCCATATGCCAAAAACTAAAATTAGACCCATGCCTGTCACCATATACTAAAATAAAATCTAAATGGATCAAAGATCTAAATATTAAAACAGAAACACTAAATCTATTGGAAGACAAATTGGGTAAAAACCTTGAAGACATAGGAAGTAGGTAGAGAATTCATGAACAAGACTCAAACCGCATGGGAAATAATTCCCAGAGTCAATAACTGGGATCACATCTTATTAAAAAGTTTCTGCACATCGAAAGAAATCTGTAACATAGTAAAAGAAAACCCACAAACTGGGAAAAAATCCTCGTGAACTGTCCCTCAGACAAAGGACTTCTG